ATCGCATTTAATACTTTTTATGAAACTTCTCTGTTTCTGAGTATAGCTAACACGCCAACGGGTCGTAACCACCAGAAAGCATACGTCACTATATCGTACTTGCATGTTTGGGAAAAACTAGTTTCATTATTCTGAACACGAAATTTTATCGCCCATGTTCAGAAAATAATAATTCAACTGTTTTCAAATTTGGCATGAGTTTTATAAATTGTTAATCAAAGAAAGTGAATTAATGAAAAAATTCTTGAAGTTTCATTTATTTAGTTGTTCTTCGAGCTCCTACAAACTTTATGGTTCTGGTACTTGTTAAGTGTTAATTTCCTATCTTTCTTTTGGAACAAAGACTGAACTAATTTCATTAACGAAATATAAGATATTACATTGGAAGACAGTTCTATTTAATTGTTCTACACATTATCTAAAGGAATGAAACGCTGAGACTGAGCGGAATTAGTACCAAGTGGTCTTGAAAAAACCAATGGCCGTTATTCTAACTGTTTGTTATTTCGTAAGTGTTTTTTGTTCCACAGAAAAACAAAAGCTTACACCAAAGAGTGGATTCTTGTAAATCTTATTGGAAGCGTACAGAGAATTCACGTGGCTGCCGAATGGCACTGACTTGGTGACGCTGTATGAACTCTATACAGAAAGGTTTGTTTGTTTGAAGTTAAGCACAAAGCTACCCAAAGGAATTTTCTTTCAGCTAACAAATTTTTATTTTTGACCTCTAGTCATTTTTTAGAGTAATTATATCTCAAATATTTTTTTCAGGGAATTTCTTGTGCCATTGATCATGCTTTTCAGTGTTAATACATTCCTCACTGATTAGTTAAAAATATGTCTGAAATCAAGTTTTCCCAAAGTTTGATTGAAATATTCAAGCATATTTCAATAAGAAGATTTCTAGAGCAGACCATCGAATAATGCTAATTATCACGATGAAACAAAATATAAACTGACAAGATTAAATAAGGATCAAACAAATTGTAGAAAATTATAAAAATATGTATAAAGTCCAACCTATCATTTGATTCACCACTTGTCATCGAATTTCACCGGTTTCAGGGAATTCTATGATTCTATCTCTAATCAGTTACCTCAGGCAAGAGCAAATCGAAAGAATTTTTAGAATCATCATTTCATTTCAACCTGAAGGCTGGCAGGTGCTCAGAGCGTTATGCCCTCTCTTCAGCCGTATTGTCTAAAATCATCTTTCTTGGCCAGTACAATCACGTATCTCAGTTTCTCTGAACATCTTTGGGATAAATCCAATGTTGTATTCGCTACCTTAATCCTCTTTTGCAATCTGTGAACCACTTGCATACCATACTCATGGACAAACAAGCTACATTTACAGCAAAATAAGACATACAGAATCTATTTGGTATTGATATTTTTTTCATGGGGTAACCAGTCAAAACAGAGGTTCTTTGAGTTCAGGTATAGCTATCGCTAACTTTTGAAACACTCACCAGAGAGAAGTGAGCCATTCAGCAGCGCTGCCACCACATGGGTTTCAAATGAATGAGAGGATTGACTGTCATTCTTCTAATTTACTCTTACCTGAAAAAAAAAGAAAAAATACCCAGCCGATTTTGCTGTAAGCTTGTAGAACAAGAATATGAATATTAATAATATTAATATGTGCACTCAAAATTTCAGCGAAGTATGAAAATCAGTAGATATATCTACTATGGTAATCGTCTACTGTTAGAAACTTCCCTGAAATAGTCACAGAAAACCACGTAGAGACAAAGTACAAAAGCGAACTCGAAAAATGATGAATCCTCAACGTGGCATTTTAAATTAATGCACCATAAGTTTCACAAATTATTTTCCAATTAATGCACATTAATAACACACTGGAGTTTTTCAATGGCGGAATTGAAGGACGTAGAAAAATTATTCAAGGTGAAAAAACGAAAGTGCTGAATTATTGTTTGTTTGTAATTAAGGACAAAGTGACACAATGGACTTTCTGTGCTCTGCCCACCACGGGTATCGAAACTCGGTTTCTAGCGATATAAGTCCGCAGACATATCACTGTGCCACTGGAGGAACACGCTTGAATTAATTGTAAAACTACCCTATGACATACTCAATACTGCATTCACTACTATTGTCCAGGTTTCAGTAAAATCAGTAAAATATTCCTAGCCATTTTATGTGTGGCGGTTTGTAAAACTATAATCAATAATAATAATAAGGCTGGAGACACTGTTATAAAATACACATTGTTTACTCTAATAAAACGAAACGTGTCTGACAAGTATAAAACGGATCATTTCTAACTAGTATAATGGTGCTTAAATGACTTCTACAGTTCTGTAATGCTTGAATGGCTTCCAAGAGGTATGTTGGTAGTGAAGTGGATTGGATGGAAATTTTAGAGGATGGAAATCTCGACTTTCAAGAATCAACTTAAGAATGGCCCTACAGCCTTTGTAGGGGTTAATTTAGCAGTTGTGCATAGAATTTGGCGCAGTATACCTATTCGTTTTTGCTGTAGGCTTCGGTGCTTGAATGACTTCTAAGAAAAACTTGGCCAGTAGCGATGAAAGAACTGATAAAATCTCTCCTCCTCTTTCAAGAATCAACATAAAAATAGTCCTATAACCTACACAAGAGTTTTTTTTAGTATGTTTGTCTAGATTTGAATAAAATATTTGTAATCGTTTTTTTTCTGTAGGCTTGTGAAAAAAAGAATAATAATATGAAGAACAAATGGAAACATTTTCAATTTTTTCTAACAATTGGAAAATCAACTTTTTTGTTATTATCAATATTTTAGCAGCCTTAGCCATTGAGATAGAAGGTCTCGAGTGTTGTTTCAAGAAAAAGTCTGATTTTTAAGATTGATTTTACCTGTATATTCCATTAGAATTTTTGTGAAATTCCTGGGTGATCCCATTTATGAACTACTATCGTGGTTCATGTTATTCTGTAAGTTATAACTTCAGAACAAAAGATAATAAGATAACTTTAATTTAAAACCATATTACTAACATTTACCCCTAAATCCACTTAACCAATGAAGATGAAAAAAATCTCCATAAATGTTTTGAATTTTCGTATCATCAGGAAATACAACGTTTGTAAGAAACCAACGCACCCAGCACAATACGTACAATAGAAATCCCCACAATTCCCGCATCAAAAACTTGGAACCGTAAAATGTATAATTCTATACCCCCAACAAATTAAACAATGAATTAAGAAGGATATGAGATCTTCATTAAACAATGAATTAAAAGGAATATAAGATCTTCATTAAACAATGAATTAAGAGGGATATGAAATCTTCATTAACAATGAATTAAGGATGATATGAGATCTTCATTAAACAATGAATTAAAAGGAATATAAGATCTTCATTAAACAATGAATTAAGGAGGATATGAAATCTTCATTAACAGTGAATAAAGGAGGATATCAGATCTTCATTAAATAATGAATCAAAGGGAATATAAGATCTTCATTAAACAATGAATTAAGGAGTATATGAAATCTTCATTAACAATGAATTAAGGATGATATGAAATCTTCATTAGCAATGAATTAAGGATGATATGAGATCTTCATTAAACAATGAATTAAAGGGAATATAAGATCTTCATTAACAATGAATTAAGGATGATATGAAATCTTCATTAACAATGAATTAAAGGGAATATAAGATCTTCATTAAACAATGAATTAAGGAGGATATAAGATCTTCATTAAACAATGAATTAAGGAGGATATAAG